ATGATTGTTGGGTTTTTCTCTGTATTTATGAAACGCCTTGAGGCGACTTTTGTTGTGATTTGGCGCTATATAAATAAAATTGAATTGAATTGAATTGAATCCGCATTCATACAACAGCATTTCTCACGCTAACGCTTAATTCTCACATGTATTTCAAGTTCAATGCCATGAAAAACGTATTTGCTCCGTTCTTTATTTCCTCACCTTTTTAAGGACACACTGACGTGTTTATTTAAACAAATGTTAATATTAGACAAAGGTAACCTGAATAAATGCAAGATGCAGATTTTTAAATGGACGTATTCATGGCACTGCTAACACTGTGCAGCTATTTCTTTCCAATATTAAACCTGGACCCTAACACCATGTAAAGGGTTAGGTATAATGAAGCATAAGATGTATGTCTATCTGTCTCTCCATAACCTTCAGTCTCTTTCACAATTCTGTGATAATATTACTAATAATGGTGATAGTGGTGCTGGAAGCATGGTGATGACTTCGATGATACTGATGATGATAATGATAATAGTGATGACTTTATTGGTGATAAACACAATGGTTACTTTCAGGAGATGCACCAGCTGTCCCGGCTGGAGAAGCTTGCTTGCCATCCTCTGGATAAAGGACTTCACATTGTCCACAACCCGCTGCTAAAACCAGTGAAGGAGGTGCTGGAGGGCGGGCTCGGTGCACTTTTTAACTACCTGAGAGCAGGGTAGCTTGTAACAACATAAGAAATGGATTTAGAACTTTTTCAATACATTTTAACTACTTAAAGTGTTGAATAGGGAGCAGGAGTTTTTAAACTATCTTAGAGCTGCAGAATGGACTTATAGCCACCCCAGTGATTTGTGCGAGGCGGGGCTTTTGTTGTTCTTAAACAACCTGTGGGCTTGGAACAGGGGCAGGTGACTGAGATGACTGAGCAGACACCTGTCATGTGTCCAAATGGATGTATGTAGACTAGTAAAATTTTTCTTAAAGAGAAGTAACTTTGAATCCCTGAAGAGGTTCACACATGACTGCCAGCACTGATAAGTGGACTGGACAGTATGGTCCAGCACCTATTAACCCTCCGACCAGTTTCCCCAGGAAACAGGCTCAGCCCAGTCAGTCCTCATGTTCTGATCTTACATCATCAAACAAGATCCAGATGAATACGATCAGCTAGTGGTTCTTATCCCTGTGCTTAGGACTCATTCACTGACACTTCCTGTCATATTTCTGCTCATCTGAATTTATTGAACTGGATATTTCTTTTAACTGTATTGATTATGCAGAACTTGGCACTGCATTTACTCCTTTTATAGCTCTTCCAAAGACCTTTAGATAATACTGACATCATATGTTAACCCTCTGCTCAGGTTCTAACTAGTCTCCTTACTCAGTGAGGTAGAGTTCAACTGTCACAGTTGACCAATATATGGACTGGTTATATTTAAGTAAATCTATACCTGCATAACCACATATGCATGTGACATTTCTACAAGTTCAGAAAAACAAAGTAGAAGATTGTCTTAGTTTCTTGTTATCTCACATTTCTACTATGGAGGACCACAAGAGCCGCGCGCATCGAAATAAAGAATTCTGTGCTTAAATAATGAATTGTAGAACAAAATCTGCATTTGTAAATTCATTTTTGAATTCCAATTTAATAAACTGATTTTTAAAATGCTTTTTAAGTCTTCATTTCAAAAACATTTTCAAATTCCACTTTGATAAACTTCATTTCAAAAATCTTTTTCGAATTGCACTTTAATAAACTGCATTTCAAAATCCATTTCCCTTTCCTGTTCGCTCAGGGATTAACATGTGGATTAGCAGTTGGATTAGCAGTTGGATTAACAACTTCATTTTAAAAATCCTGCTGCTATTCAAATTAGCCACACTGTGGGATGTAAGGAACTCTCTGATTGGTTGGACAGATGTTGGCTG